TTTGTTGCAAAAGGCGGAAAATGAATTTTAAAAAAAGAACAGCGGTCATAATACAGACTCTTCCTTTACAAATTCACTCATTCCGACAAAAAAAAAAAAAATGCAAATTTCGCAGAGTAAGATAAAGTTGAAGTCAGAATGTTTTGTTACAACACAGTGATACCATATATGTAACAGACGGCATGGATTCCAATTCCACATGAGAAAAAAGTCTTATGTAGATTTCTTGTGCCACAACACTACGACAGGGCGAGATGGCTGAAAAGTGTATCACGAAGTAAGTACATGTATTTCATATTGGTCGATATGTGGTATTCAAAAAAGGCTGAATTTGGTTAATTTTATTTTAACATATATAATATTTAAGCTTTAATGAGAGGTCAACACAACTATGAAAAGGTCAAACAAACTGGTCTAGTTGATTGTGACAATTGTTGATTTTTTTTAAATGATGTAAAATAAGAACAAATCAATTGGTGAAAGATAAAATTAAATAAAGCACTACTATTGGGGAGTGGAGTGCATGCACTACAGTTGACCAACTGCCTTAGGACAACTTTATCTTTTTAGCGGGGTCATTATTTCCATCGTCTATTCATGTTTTACTTGTCTAATTGTCACTGCTGAAGGTCAGAGCTAGCACATGAAAGAAGGGGAACTCCTTTACTTCGACCAGCATCACGTCTCCATCCGGACGCCTTTCATCGGGTTTAGTATGCACAATATAATCGTACTGCAAGAGTTGTACTCAGGCGACTGGTCATTTATTTGAATGAAGCCACATTTTAATTTGTCATGCATACGCCACACACACACACACACACACACACACACACACACACACACACACACACACACACACACACACACACACACGTGCGTGAACGCACATCTTCACATTGGTTCAGCTGCTGCTTCTTTAAAAACTCAAAGAGGATTCATCTGATCCATCCTACAACCGCTTCAATGTATTCTTTCAAGTTTTGTGTGGGACTTCCTGTCTCACTTAATTTGTTCTGTCAAAAATAGACGACATGTATTTATAACGGAGCAGAGCAGATCCCCCCGGGGAGGTACCACAGTGGTTTGGGGGCAAGTACAATCAAAGTCTAGACTTGCACATATCCACAATGACAGTCAAGGCCGGTTAGAGTCACATATTTTTGTTATCAAGTCACATCTGTTTCCAACTTTGAAAACCAGCCTTAGATGTTACCTGAGCTTTGCCTCAAGGTAACTAATGGTACATGCACTGTAAGTGTTGCTCTCAATCTTATATTTATGATAAATAATTCAAAAGGTCTAATAGTTAACTTGGATTATAATTTCCAATCATGAATAAATATCCATTCATAATTAGATATCAATATCCTGTAGCTAATCTGTTAATTTAAGACCTTATTTACGAGTAACAATGTGTTCATGTCCAGAATATTTTTTTTCTTGTGTTGCTACTACAATAGAGTTAGAGAGAGCGTCACTGAGAGTGGTTCATACGTAGTGTAGCTGCATATTGTCTATCTGCTAATGCTAAATGCTAATGCCATGGCTCATGCTCAGTTAGGCGGAGGCAAAGTACGGCCCAGAGGCCACATCCGACCAGACCACAGCCTTTGACCGGCCGTCACAGTGACCATGAAGTCAAAGTAAAATGTAAAATATGGGGTTCTTTTATTGTGAAAGTTGTGCTTTTTATGTGCACATTTGGACACGAGTACAAGAAAGGCAGTGAGCAAGTGCTATGACTTGGGTCGCAGTGTTTTTGCTTTTTTTTGAGACTTTTCCCCCCGTCTAGCAACTATTTTTCCGAAAAAAGAGACTAGCAAAAATGGCAACAGTGGTCCTAATGTTAGCAACATTCTCATTTCCTGCACGGAGGAGGGAAGAGGGCCAAGAAAATTCGGCCGAATAATTCTGTATGCAAATCTACAGTTTCATATATTGGATGCATTATGAATCATCGGTGTATCATTCCACATCACCCTCAATAATATATAATGGGGAGACTTCTCTATATATAATTGAGTCTTGACTTGGAAAAGATAATATGAGTTGGTTAGTGAACAAAATTGTGATAATTTTTTAAATTGTAAAGCTATAATTTGAATGACTGCTTAAAATTTGGTTCAAATTTTCAGAAATATAAAAATGCATATCACATCTATACACACAGCAGACAAGAAAATGTGCTTATTTTGAAATACATTAAAAAATAATACAGACAAAATTGGAGTTAGCATGTTGGTTTGGTCCACGGAAAATGTATCATGTGGCCCCTTTTCAAATTAAGTGCCCACCCCTGCTCTGAGATATATCTTATATTTATGATAAATAATTCAAAAGGTCTAATAGTTAACTTGGATTATAATTTCCAATCATGAATAAATATCCATTCATAATTAGATATCAATATCCTGTAGCTAATCTGTTAATTTAAGACCTTATTTACGAGTAACAATGTGTTCATGTCCAGAATATTTTTTTTCTTGTGTTGCTACTACAATAGAGTTAGAGAGAGCGTCACTGAGAGTGGTTCATACGTAGTGTAGCTGCATATTGTCTATCTGCTAATGCTAAATGCTAATGCCATGGCTCATGCTCAGTTAGGCGGAGGCAAAGTACGGCCCAGAGGCCACATCCGACCAGACCACAGCCTTTGACCGGCCGTCACAGTGACCATGAAGTCAAAGTAAAATGTAAAATATGGGGTTCTTTTATTGTGAAAGTTGTGCTTTTTATGTGCACATTTGGACACGAGTACAAGAAAGGCAGTGAGCAAGTGCTATGACTTGGGTCGCAGTGTTTTTGCTTTTTTTTGAGACTTTTCCCCCCGTCTAGCAACTATTTTTCCGAAAAAAGAGACTAGCAAAAATGGCAACAGTGGTCCTAATGTTAGCAACATTCTCATTTCCTGCACGGAGGAGGGAAGAGGGCCAAGAAAATTCGGCCGAATAATTCTGTATGCAAATCTACAGTTTCATATATTGGATGCATTATGAATCATCGGTGTATCATTCCACATCACCCTCAATAATATATAATGGGGAGACTTCTCTATATATAATTGAGTCTTGACTTGGAAAAGATAATATGAGTTGGTTAGTGAACAAAATTGTGATAATTTTTTAAATTGTAAAGCTATAATTTGAATGACTGCTTAAAATTTGGTTCAAATTTTCAGAAATATAAAAATGCATATCACATCTATACACACAGCAGACAAGAAAATGTGCTTATTTTGAAATACATTAAAAAATAATACAGACAAAATTGGAGTTAGCATGTTGGTTTGGTCCACGGAAAATGTATCATGTGGCCCCTTTTCAAATTAAGTGCCCACCCCTGCTCTGAGATATACTGAGGCCTGAAGCTCAAAGGACAATAAATAAACCTTAAAGGAACGTTCTGTGAAAATTACCCGGAAAATTAGAAGTATTAGGACTGACAATAAGTAGAAAATAATGTTTTTCCATGTGTTATTGTTCATGTTATTATTGTCATTATGATGGCTATTAATATTATTCATTGTGTTTTAGGATGAATCATTATTATGAACAGCACTGCTTTTCTTTGTACCCTGAAGTGCTTAAGAAATAAAACCGAGTTAAGTTGAGAGTTACACAATAAAATGTATACATTACAGTGAAACTCCTCAACATGGGTGAAAATACCCCCTAGTGTGAAAAAATGTTCATGCATTAAAGCCATTCCCACTTTTCTGCTCCCCCTATGACGAAAAATCCACCTGTTCCGTTATACGAAATCTTTTTCTCTGATCTTGCCTCGCGACGAGATTCACTACAATGAAAACAAGCCTTTCGCAAAAGTCTAATCCAACCTCAGCCAAAAGCGACCTTTGCTGCTTCGCTCCGAAACTGCAACAGCAACCACCACACTGGTTTACACATGCACAGCATTCCAGGAAGTATTTCGTTGCATTGCTAAAATGGCTACAAAACGGACCTTTGGAGGCCAAGCAGCTAAGACAAGAAGAGCTCTGACGCTGGAAGAGAGGGTAAAACTGATCAAAATGAAAGACGGAGGAAGCAAAATAAAAGACATTATCCAAGAAATTGATGTAAGTGAAAGTGAATGCTGATCGTAAATGTCACAATTTCTTTCCCTTTTTTTCTCTTTGTGCACAACTGTACATTGGCTAAACAGTACACTACTGTACAGTATGAAGTGTCTTTGGGATTAGGATTGTTTGATTTAAAAAAGTCATTGATTTAAATTGCAATTTAAATCAGATTAAAAATTAACAAATCAATACTTTTATTTTCACGAATGGATAGAAAATTCGAATGTCGCTTTACAACATCACCAAAAAATGTAATTTTGGGTGGGGTTTTTCTTAGTTTTGTATCATTAAATTTATTAATTACACATTCATAAGGTGTTACAGTACTGTATACAGTAGACATATTCATTACAGTACTGTTATGCTTCAGGTACATTTTATAGAAGTAAAGTTTGAAATCAAATTATAGATATTGAAACCTTTTTTATAAAAGAGTATAAATGACTTTTTTAAACCAACAAAGTGGAGTGATTAATATAAAAAAATTGTAAGTTAATGTTAAACAATATCAAATAAGTGTATGCTCATATTTATGCACTACGTACAGTATTGGAATAAAAATTAAGGGCACACATATATGTTTTGTGTGTGTGTGTGTGTGTGTGTGTGTGTGTGTGTGTGTGTGTGTGTGTGTGTGTGTGTGTGTTTACATCTGAGATAAAATTTGCTACAGTGAAAAACCCCCTGTTGTGAAAAATTTCTTGCTGCAAACATGATTTTGTTATGGAGTAGTTTCACTGTACTGACATGCTATGATGGTCATTTACTATTATTTAAACTTCTATGTAGTCAGTTGTTTGAATGATGGACTTCAATCTTCATAGTTTTACTCATTTCAAGTAAAATGCAACACAAGGTAATGGCAGACAAAAAAAAATACTTGTCGGGCAAGTGTGAAGGCATATATTCTCGATTTTACCTGTTCCTCTGTGATGAGCCCAGGATGTGTGTGTGTGTTGTCATTGGTATAGTGCAGTGGTAGACTCTGACACAGCTGCCCCAGCAGCATGGCCACTTCCTTCATGCTCCGCCAGCAACACACCAGCACCATCTGGGCTGTCACCCTGTAGCCCTCGCCACCTGGAGCATGCCCACACACATGCACGGACACGTGCACAAATACACACAAAAGGAAAAAGGAAGTTTCATCACTTTACCGAGATACAGAAATAGTGGTGGTACAACAAAAAAGGACAACCAATGCCCCCATCAGGACATCACTAACATAGCAGCTAGAAGCAACAATAATGATCTGAGTCATATGACACTCACATTGTGTGGTTGTTTAGTAAGGCCAACTTGACTTAGCATAAAGCGTCCCACCCCATCGCAAAAGCCACAAAACAAATATACCCCCACATTACCACAGTAACTTGCATAATATTTGGTGAACCTGTATGAGTACTAACGAGCTCCAGCATTTCAACTATTTTGGTTACCTTATTCAGCTCCAACAGAATATCGAAATAAGAGGAAACTATGTCAATGTTATGTAGTCCATGAGCCAACCAATATTTACATCAATAACTCTGACACTTCCATTTAAAAGGCAACATTATTATATTCGTTGAGGCACAATGTTTGATACACATCTTGTATTGGCCCTCATTATGCAAATGTATTTGTATGGTACGCACACGCACACGCGCACACGCACGTGCACACACACACACGTATCAAAACATAGTTTCTTGTAGCCGAGTTTGAGTTGTCTTGATTAGGCGATCAGCTACTTGTTTTTAAAAAAGACCAAAATTTAGAGGACAAAAGCAAACTTCGAAAAAGACGAGAAAGGCATCAATTGAATTTTCACTCATGAACAGCAGAACTTCACCACCGGGCTGTCGAGTCACACTAGTCTTGAAGTGAGCAGAATGGATGTTTCAGGTGACAGCTAAGTATGGCTTGCAAAAAGAGGCTCCCCATTTTGTGATACAGTAAATTACGAATCCTCCCATTTGTCAAAGCGATGTGAAAATAACTCTATGTAAAAGTAAATTTCATGGAAGACCTTTGAAAACAAAATTGTCTGATAGGTGAGGTGCTGGACGCACCGAGGCAGGAAAAGAGCTGATTAGCAAATTATTAGATGCATGTTGGCCAGCTCTAGACCCTTGCTGGAATACTCAGTTAAGTACTACAGTATGTCGAAGGTGACAACTGTGCTTTCTGATGTGATTTTAAAAGAGGTGGGGGTGCTCTTATGATGTGTGTCACTCACTGGTGTCAGGTGACACTATGCGTGCAATCTGAGTTTCTTCCTGGTCCTCTTCATTTTGTGTATCCAGCTCTCTGGCGCAGGTGAAGAAATCATTGGTGTCCCTTGGCTGAATTTCGTGCAAGATCTTCTGAAGTCCCGCTGATGTGTCTGTTACTGTACAGACACACACACACACACACACACACACACACACACACACACACACACACACACACACCCTCCCACTTGTAAAAATCCTTCCATTAGGGGACCAAATGGGCGGGGCATATGCAAAGTGTGTGTGTGGAGCAGTGAGTGCAATAGCACCGAATAACCATGTGGGGGGCTGCTGAGCACCATTCACACACAAACAATCAGCAAAAATGGTGACTTGTGGGCCTTTGCTAAAAACTTCACAGGCATATTCAGGGCAGCCCCCCTGATGCTTTTTGTATGTTATTCTTATGGGGACCAGCTTTTTTGTCCCCAGACGGTCACTGGTCCCCAGGACGTGACTGTGTAAACAATTTTATGTCCCCACAACCATACATAAACGAGAACACACACACACACACACACACACACACACACACACATACGAGATGGGAGTAACGGAGGTATAAATAAATGTCATTAAAAAAATACATGGCATTACTAATTCCACCGTTGTGATGCAACATCTTTAACCAATGCATGCTTCTGCTAAATGAGTGGCCATAAATGCGCAAGTAGACTATGATAGTTCCACGCAACCAAAACTTTATCGGTAAAGTGAGCCTATGTTGAAATCCTGGTCGCAGTTTCAACACTGTAATTCCCCGTCCCCCTCCTTTGTTTCTAAGTGCTGTATTAACTGCACAAGAATGAACATATTTTTCGGATACCCAACATTTCAACATTAAAAAATAATTTTAATTCATTCTCATTCTGTTATCATACATGGTAAATTGGGGGGGGTCAGGGTTCACAAAAAATTGAGAAAACGGGATATATAACTTTCTGATGTATATCTCATTAACAGGGCATGCCTTCAGAAAAAAATGGGCACATGGCTCAGCCAATTTGTAATCAGTCACAGCGCAAACCGAAATTACCTGTGCCAACATCCATGGGGATGAGACCCTCAGGGGAAGAGCTCTGGACAACAGGAGAAACCACATCTGACAATCTGTAACAGGTGGCGATGAGCTCCGACACCAGTCGCCTCCACTCCTCTGTGTGACGTAAACACCTAGACAGACACCCACACGCACGCACCCACACAATTCAAGTGAGAACTAATAAAGTCAATACATTATTTAATTGAAAATAAAAAAGAGATGTGAGGATGCAAATGCTGTGGTCGCTCTCACTCTGTGTTGAGATTCCGAAGGACCGCAGTGATGCAATGGGCCCGGCCGTAGAGAGGATAGGAAGCTGCTGCCTGCAAAAGGCAACACTCCGCTTTGGAGACCTCTGACTGCAGACAGCACAGCAAGAACTGCACCACTGCGGAGAGACAACATCTTGTAGATAATATAATTTCTGTCTTTTTCACATTAACGTGTCATTCTTTGGCTCTGGAATACCATCTTATACCAGATAAAGTGTTAAGCTCCTGGACATTAGGTGCCTGTGGCAATGAGGAGGGATGCTGGAAGTCAAATCCCTGCTCCTGGGCACAATGCAGTAGTGCCATACTCAAATTGGGCTGGTGGAGCAGCAGGTTGAGCAGGTGGGCAGCCGTTACACTGTCAAAGGGCTTGGTGCTGGTGCTCAGATCTAGCGCAGCCTGAAGTAGACCACGCATCACGTCTGGTTCCTAACCCCACAGAGAACAATAAGGGATCAGAATGTGTTTGTTTTTCTTCAGATACTTCATTCCGACCGCACAAAAACCCTGAATGGGTATACTGATAAACATTTGAAAGATCAATTTTAATAATGCGCATCTGTGTATTATATGGTCTTGTATACACGGTAATGTAATTGTAGACAATACAAATGTTAGCGTGTGAGGAAGAAAGATAAAACGTAATATAGACATGATGTTTGAAATGCAGTGCTACACAAGGCGTTAGCCCTCATATCAACCTCTAGTCCCAGTGCTGACAGAGGAAGTTTCCATAACAATGTTGTAGCCAGCATTTTGACTTCCATGAAGTTGCTTGCAACACAGTAGAGCACATTCTGAGCATAAGTAGAGGTCACAACTTCACCAAGGGCAAACCCATCAGGCCCTGAAAACAGAATAAAAGCACAAAGGCATCAAAATATGCATCCTGTTTCCATACTAACAAAGCTTTCAACAGCTTTTTTTTTTAAAAGCATGATGCTTTACTTCTTTTGACATCTTAAGTATCTAAAACAGTGGTTCTTAACCTTGTCAGAGGTACCGAACCCAATGAGTTCATATGCACATTCACCGAACCCTTCATTCGTGAAAAACAAAAATATGACTTTTTACAAATTCAAGACATAAAAAAAAAAACAATTTCTTAAAAACAGAAAAAATAAATAGAATTTCAAGACATAAGTAATTTTTTTATTTTTTTATTTTACGACATGCTATCACGACAGTCACACGTTGACTACTGAGCGAACTAAATTTCCCGCAGCACTGATTGGACAAGCAATGTAATGATCATCTGCAGCCAGGCCAAGTGGGTGTGTAATAACTAATTGACATGCTGAGTCGAGTATGTCCTAACCTCCATGACAGAGGCTCCGTTGAACCCCTGAGACCGATTCACCGAACCCCTAGGGTTTATTCGAACCCAGCTTAAGAACTACTGATCTAAAATGTCACCATTGGTGTTGCTGAGGAGTGTGCATATACCTGCATCAAAAGTGAAGAGTTCAGCCAGCAGGACAAGCAAGTGGAGGGACATGATGCATTTCGAGAAAGAAGCTCCAGGAAGCAAAACATCAAACAACTTTGAGCATAACTTGTGCAGAAATTCCTATCACACACGCACATAAACACATTGTTATTTACCCTGACGATGAAGGGGGAACTATGTATTGTGTGTAATCTTGTACCTTATAAAGAGATATACTCTGCTGGTCTTTGGCTCTTTGCTCCTGTTCTCTCTCTTGACTCTGTCTCTTTAGCAACAGCTGCATACTGTCCTTTACTCGGCAGAGCATCTGTGCAACAGAAGTTGACAAAAGTCAATGCGAGCTGAGCACAATTCCCAATATCAAGATTTGACTGACAAGATAAGCGGTATGCTCTATGTGTGTGCGCGTGTGTGCGTGTGTGTGCGCGTGTGTGCGTGTGTGTGTGTGTGTGTGTGTGTGTGTGTGTGTGTGTGGGGGGGGCGGTCAATTAGCTAACCTTCTTGAAAAGGCTGACCACTTGCTGTCTGACACTTGGTGACTGGCTGTTGAGGTTGGGAACCAAGAAGTGGTGAATAAGATCCATTTCCTGTGATGTCAAAACCTCAGTGCTTCGGTGGCTTTCACACACCAAGCCTAAAGCATCCATTCTCACCTGGCAGATATGTCACATACATACAGTATTAATATGTTGTAAAAAAAACTAACTACATGTAACATAGATAACAGGGATATGACGCAATGCAAATGTACTCACTTGATCATGTTTATGTATGAGCGCTTGCCGAACCAGGCTGAAGGGCACCAGTTCCTCACATAGACCCTCGGCCGAGGTCTGTATCACACCCTGAGACCTGGCTGCCCGCAGGCATGTCATTAGGGCCCCGAGTGCACCCCTGCTTCCAGTTGAATCTGTTGAGCATCCAGAAAAAAATATCTGAAATGACCAAGAGGTTCTTAAAGGACATTGCAACAACATGTAGCAGAGCACTGCAGGTACAGCTAAAGACAAGCTGTTCAGAAAACGGATGGATGATTGTGGTTGTCAGTCTTTGTGCTTTTTACCTTTGCAGCAGGAAAGTCTGTCTTGCAATGCCTGCACCATGTGTGTCAGACTCGATGGGCTGCAGCGCAGCAATTTGGGTAGGAAATAATCCAGAATGTAAGTGGTCTCATCCACTCTCGCACTACACAGCACCTGTAGTAGGGGCGTAACCCACATCCGGTGCCAACGCTCCATCCAGTCTTCTGCAGTGGTCCCTTTTTCTGTCGAGGCTTCAGCGGCAAGCTGTTCTTTATGGCTGATGAAAAGCTTCTCCAGAAGGTCACTGGCATACGGAGCCAAAGTTTGGTCACTCATCAGACCCAGGAGATGTGAAGGAAGCGGTGGCTGGATCTGAAGCAGGTATCTAGCACCATAAAGATCCACAAGGCAGCCCAAGGCTCCGTATTTTCCCCGCATGTGCCAATCGAGCTGGAACAGTCTTTGCGTGAGCTCCATGACATAGCTGTCCGGATTTGACTCAGAGGTAGAAGAAATGGTATGTTGATGGAGGAGGAGGAGGTTGCGAAACAGGGAGCATGTTTGGTGTCGGACTCCATCTAAGGGATGTTCCCAGTGGGAGTAGATATGCTCCAGGAGGCGTCGGTGTAAATCAGAGCCGCCAGTGAATGACTGCTGGAGACTGAGGGCACAGAGCGCCCTCTGACCCTGCATGCAGTCCAGGGCAGCACTGCTCCACAGCATCAGGACCCGAACTACCAGCAAAACGGTACTGGACTCTTTTATACTGGAGATAGAAGAATACACACAAAGAAACAGAAACATTTGTAACCATAAGACATATCAAGAAAATATTCATACAAATGAAAAAAAATAAAAAATAGGGATGCGATAAACTGTACAGGATGAATATTGCTTTGCTTACTGGACAATATCCAGGTATGAAAGCCGAAGAAAACAAACCAAAAAAGATAAATAAATAAATACATAAATATATAAATAAAGCATACTTGAAAAAAAGTACTGATAGACTGAACTAATGGAAAGGTAAAACGAAGTTCCCCTGTGGTGGTTTAGATTGCGTTTTAGATTCATCGTGAAATCCGACCCAAAAGCCAAATATCACTAACTTTTTGCGAGTAGTGTGATGACAATATTTGCTAACATTTGCTCACAAATTATTATTCTCCTGTGATAGTGGTGTGTTGTTCTTTTTCAAATGAATTACCTGACATCCAAATCCAGGAGTGTGTTTGGGACCAAGAGGAGCAGTGTTTCCCAGTGTGGGCCTGCGGGGGAGCCTTTCCAACTCAGCATTGCCAGTGCCCCATGACACAGATACAAAGAAACACCTGGCGGACGAGCACTGGTACACAAGCTCTCACAACTCTTCTTAATCCACACGGGGGCAGAGTCCAAGCCATTTACTGAGCTACGAAGCAAACTACAAACCTGAAATTGCACAATGTGCTTTTTTAACTGAAGAATATTTTAGTCATGAACAACTTTGACAGAACACAACATGAAATACATTCAATTACTTCACTGGTTTAACATATGTATACTGGGGTCACTGAAGAACAAACAATAAATTTACTGTAACTTTGCTTTTTTTGTGTTGTTCCACTCATGCCTTCGAATTGAAAGAGTTTTTCCCCTATGAAAGTTTGAAATAAGTTCAATGTGTGTGTTACTGTAGATAATCAGATAAGTGGAGCTTGTTAGTCATTGAAACTTACCACAAAGGCAACTTCATCTCCAGAGCCCATCACAGATCTGATTAATAAGACAATGGCCATGCCAGATGTACTCTGAACTGCTTGCACAAAATCCTCTGGGTTTAATATACCAAGGAGAGAGAGAAAAAAATGTGCAATGTCAGTACTGTAAAACAGTTGTAATGCATTGTTTCCACTTTGTATGCTGAATATCAGTTTAGCATTTATTTAAATATCAGTATAATATTCAAGTATGACAGTACCCCCCACACTGGTAATATGCACAGCATATACAGATTTTTTTTGTTTGTTTGTTTTTTTAGTAAATTAAGTTAAATTTTAAAAAAAACATCTGAAATGTTTTTTCTATTTCCCCAAACAGGCTATATAAATCAGGATCTATTGTATTGTATTGTATTGTATTGTATTGTAAATGTGTTCTACTATGTTGCTTACCATCGGTAATGATACTTATGTAGCAGTCCAGGAGGCTATTAAGTGTATCTTTCAGTGTCTGGTGGATCGTGATGGCAGAACTAATTGAACCTTGGCACCTCTGGATGACCAGCATTGATGTTTTCACTGCGGCCAAACAGGAATGCATCAACTGGGCTTGAGCTATGTGACGGCCTGCGATGCCCCTTTTTAGACAGCAGAGGGCGACATAAACAGTTTATGAGAGAGGTATTAAAGTTACACAGTAAAAATTGTAATTGCAGATGACAGTACTGTATATACAAACCTGTTTTGATTAAGATACTCGCGTAATCCCTTGTGCAGAAACTGCAAAACTAGAACGATGAACGACAAAAGGGTCAATGGAGGATCGTTTTCAAAAGAAATGTTTTGAGCAAAGCATCAAAAACAAACCTTCTGGAAGAAGTTTACTGACACATCTCTCGCCTGAAAATTGTCATATTGCAGTGTATGGTTGTCAGTCAGAGAGAAACACTGTATATGACTAGAAATCAACAGACAGGCCAAGGGCATGTGCACTTACCCAGAGGGAAGCCATCCATGCAGGCAGTAATGGCATCCACAACATGCGAGTATTGGTCTGGTGTTGGATCAGACAAAGAGTCTGACAGGCACTTGGACAGACAAGTTATCGTTTGTTCCTGAAGCCAGGTTGGTACTGAACTCAGGGCACTAAGCACAGGTGCACAGGAACAAAAAATGATACATAAAGGTGGTAATAATAGTAATAATCATCAACATCATCATACTCATAATAGTAATAATAATAATAAATGAGACCAATTGAAAAAAATCTTACGTCATACTGCCAGTAAGATGCTACTTCGAAATTAACCCCTAAAGCTCTTGTTTTAATAGTTAGAAGGAAATATCTCAGCTGATTGTATTGGAACAAATAGGACATTAAAAGGACCTAATGTTTATTAAGGTAATTAACTGGCAGCCATAGAGAAGTGGTTAAGATCACCGCCTAATAATATAAAAAAAATGTGTGTGTGGGGCAGGGGGGCATAGCATAGACATAGCAACAAATAGAACTGGTTCAATTACTTCAATCTGCATGAATGATATGTCAGGAAAAGATGTCCTACGTCTTCTTGAGATTCAAACCGGCAGCCTGATTTTCCATTCCTTTCTTATAAGGCATACGAGTTTCTGCATTAACTATGTGCCTCACTCCTCTTCATAAAGAAACAAATTCAAGAATATCCAAATATTATTGTGCACCTGGTAATGGCACGTCGCAAGGGGTTCTTGGCTTGCAGGGAAATGTAGCTCAGAGCCAATGTCTGCAGACAAGCTCCTAAGATTTCTCCATCGCATTGCTCTTCGTCGAGTGTCTCCAGCAGCAAACCAGCCTAATGTAGAATGAGCAATGATGCGACATGACTCATCTTTGCCAAAAATTATAGAAAGACAGTACTGCATTGCCTTATTAGTGATCACCTTTTTGACCTGCTGGATCTGTTGCACTGGCTCTTTCAGCTCTAAACAGCACTGTAAAGTTTTGGCGACCTGCCTGACGCCATCGTGCCCTCCATCCACAGAGAGAGATGCTAGTGGCAAAGGTACATTCCTCAGCATTAATAGAGTGACATGATGAAACGTGAAGAACCTTTGGGTTAAAACTGTGTCCACCATAAACAATCAATGTAAACAATGGTTTGAACAACATTACCTAACAGCATGTGCAATGTCTCTTCGTCCAAAACCAAAGCCTCGACTTTGGGGTTCTTCTTTTTCACCACCATAGCACAGCAGCATTCAAACTCAGCATTTGAAAACAATGTTGCACCTTGAATCCGCAAGTCAGCAACAAGTCAGCAAACGTGCTCAGTGACCCTTATTTTAAGGAAACAACAAAGGAAAATATGCATCAACAAACACGTAAAGCATGCAATTTTCCGACAGGAACACAAACATAACTTACAACACTACTTTTTAGAGTGCTGTCAAAGCATAAATTGGCTGCTGCTCGCAGGTTTTCCTCGCTAGTACCGCGGTAACGATCTGTGTAATATATCAGCAGACCAAAGATAAAACTATTATTTTTTGACACAAAGTAAAAGCTTGAATCATGTCAAGATATAAATACTGATCAATAGGACGAACTCGGCTTCTGCAGATTGCTGCACGCGGCACTGGTTTTCCGCAACTCCGCTCAAGCTTCCTATTGCGTCACTCTCCATAACGTGACAACTTCCGGTAATCTACGGTTTCAGAATTAAACTCTCATCATAATGTTTCTCTTCATTTCCCCGCTAGGGATCGCCCACGTTATTTTTATAAATCCCATTTGAATCACAGGCCGTACATACCCGCTGCAATGTGATTGGCTGCTGCATCAAGGCAGGGAAGGCAGGCAAGGCAGATGAAAAGATATGACAATTCTAAATGTGCATCGCATTTTCAAAAAAAATAAAAATAATCATGTTGGTTCGGGTTATGTTTTGGGGGAGTATTGTTGGGATTTATGATTACGTCGTCACACCGACATCATAGCGTTCTGCTTTTCCGGCCTGTATGCGGGAGGGCGCGGCCTAGGTGGATGCAACAGCCAATCATATTGCAGCAGGGCGTGACTTGCAATGTACAGTGGTATTCATAATAAAGAATAATGTGAAGGAGTAGGTACAACTTCTGGTTGGACCGCGATGTCAAATTAAAAACACATTCTATCATGAGCGCAAACATCTACTCGTTAGAGACTTTGCTAAAGATATTTTACTACTCCCCTGCTACGACAAAAACTGCAAAGAGTACGTCCTGTCTCCGAATAGCGCTCACCATTCTGAATGGTGGAAATTATACGTCAATCAAACAGACGGGTTTTTTTTTCCTCCCACGCATTGAAACGCCCACCACATATCTGATTGGGTCTGTTGGCAAACCCAACTTTTTTTCACTGAAACTGTTTAGGAAAATAGAAAGTTGTTGATGGTTTACTCATGAAAACAGGAAAGTTGATCTCTATAGACTTCGACATGGACATGTCGTGAAATGAAATTACGCGTGTAGCGGTGTTCCATCACTTCTTTTCTTTTCACGGGTAAGTGGGGAAACTTCAATTGTTGTATTGGGGAAAACTCTGTAAATAGTTATGACTCAACAAAACCAAACTGTTATATCGACAGATTTAAATTATTCACATCATGTTTTGAAAGTCGATGTTTTTCGCGTCACAGTTGTAATGGACAATGTTATTTTATTATTATTTTAATAGTACTACGTCCGTTGCCATGAATGAACTGATGGTACCAGCCGGTGTTGCACTAACAGTGAATAGTCGCTGTTTTCCGCGTCACAGTTGTAGTGGACAGCGGCTTTGTTTTTGAATATTAAATCGACCAACGTCCGTTACCATCAATGGACCGATGGTACCAACCAGTGTTGTACGAACAGTGAATAGTCTTTGTGAGTCATAGTTTTCATTGAAAAGCAGATAGTTGAGGGTTTTAGTCCACCAATTGCCTAAAAGCCGCCTAAATTCATGAGCAAAATGTTGAAATATCAGATTAGATAATCTAACAATTGTTTCAATAATCATATTCCTGAAATCAAGTTTAGTTTCAGTGACCCACACATATTATGTAGAGTAACTTCTTGATGTATACGCTTAGTGTTTGTTATAATAAGTAAGTAATATCAAGATTGATTTAGACGTAATTGCATATCAACAAATAGGCAGGGGCGGAGCTACATGGTAGCCCGACGTGGCCATGGCGACCCCTTGTCACTCTTTGGCCATCCTCACACCTAGGAAAACATTTTGATTTATGACTTTTCTGCCTTTTTTTTTTTTTTTTTTTTTTTTTTTTGCATGGATGCAATATTCTTAGACCCCTTGATAATCTGCTCCAGACTAATTATGTTAAAGGTATATTCAAAGAGCGAGTATAGAATTGACCCAAAGGCGAACTTTAAAAGATTCTGTTTTAAGTAAAGAATATTTGATTCCTGCAGGGAATATCGATCAAAATCATGACTTTCACCCCAAAACAAGTTAACAACTTGGCTGAGAAGTCATTGTTTATCATACCATCCACAATCATGGTGTTATGAAATGAAATGAACACATTTACCAACCTAGCACAAACATTTAGAATACAAACAGGAACAAACCTAATTTTAAAAAAAACTATGTTTACAATTGTGAAGAGTTAAGAGATTTTTGTGTCATTGTGTTTTTTCTACATAATTTGAATAAATGACACATTCATCGCAGTATGCAAAATGGCATCGGCCACCAGTGACAATTGATCACGTTGATTGGCTTTTAGTTAGTGAATCACTGTATGAGATAGAAGTTGACTACAGTATGTGAGTACACAAAAGCAAAGACACTAATAAGAAGAAGAAAAAGAAGAAGAACAAAAATAATAATGACATTTATCATGATAATTTGCCCTGCGATTGGCTGGCAACCGGTTCAGGGTGTCCCCCGCCTACTGCCTGAAGACAGCTGGGATAGGCTCCAGCATCCCCCGCGACCCTTGTGAGGCTAAGCGGATCAGAAAATTAATGAATGAATGAATTATTATAATTATAACAACAACAATAACAATTATTATGATTATTATTATTATGCTCCTGCCAAAAGGCTCATCTTTTCAACAAGACGGCATTTCGAACTGTTAACCAGACGTAAGTTTGAAAATGATAAAGACACAGAGAAAGGGTCATCATGTGGACAAAAAGAAACAAAAAAAATAGGGTTCAATAGGGGTTGCAAAACGTTCCCTTATGCCAACCACATAATATAATTCACCACAGTGTACTTTATGAAGTGATGAAACTACTGCTTGAACTTGTAAATGTCATCTTGTACCTTAGAATATTTTTAAATTCCGCCTCTTGTAGAGAAAAGAAAGAGGCATGCATATAGGGAAAACAATTATACAACTTCTCTCATGTTGTAAAGTACATTTTATTCTAGTTATGAAACTAGGTATGTGGAATAGCATTGTTTGCATGTAAAAATTACTTTCACGCTAAGAAACAAAAGAACCAGCTACTGTATATTTGAAGAGAAGAGCACCCATATGCATTTGCCCGCTCTTTTTGTAATTCCCAGTGTTTACCACAGCAGAAAGTGGCAAAAATAAGTCTGTGGAAGCCAGTTTATAGTCGTCCTCAGCATGTTTTCAGACTCTTTGCTTAGACGCCAGCTGGGTAATGAGAGGTTATTACATGGAGCAGAAAGTCAGGCTCTCTGTCGCGTTTGTCTGCCATTAAAAATTATCATCCGTCGTTCTCTTTTATCTGTTTTCCAACGACAGCACTGGAAAACTTGGGTTGTACGTGTTTTTTTATTTGGCCCAGGAAAGCGATACGCCCACTGCCCACACTGGTCCAGCTGGGCTCAGCCTTGGAATATTTCAGGTGTTGGCTTGTGGCAAAACATCTGGGCGACAACACACCCTCTTTGTTTGTACATACACTCCAAAGCTCTGTATGAAATAAATGCTGAATGAAATATGCTAGTGTACATTTCATTCATTTCATTTCATTTGTCAGTGTGATACTGTATGTGTGTGTTCCAGAGAACAGGCAGTATGGCGGAAGGCGAGGAGACCATGAGTCAGGAGGACTGGAAGGGCAAGTGTATGGTCCTCGAAGCTCTGCTCATGAAGTTCAGGGTTCAGATAATCAAAATCCGAGAGCTTACTGCTGACAAGGTTAGTTGGAGTACATTTCTTTCTACTGTAAGTATATGCTTAATAGTCACTGTGACCGTTTTCAATGTAGTTTAAGGTTTCTATTTATTTAGAGTAAGCGTAGGGAGTAGTGCTCTATATACTGTAGTACAGTATATAGTTTGTATAGGACTGGCCACTGCTCCTATTTTGGGAGGAGGAGGAATGAATAGCCCCCTTCAACCTAAATAAAAATACACAGGAAGCAACCCGGGAACAAACATGAGTTCTTGTACAAAGAGTTTTTTGTTCTGGTTACTGACGGTAGAAGACGTTGAATAACAATTTTGTATGACACTATCAATAAGACTGCTCCTCAAAGTTTAAGAATTCAAATATCACTTTTGTGATAAACATCTGTTGCCACAGACTTATTTACCTTGTTGTTGCTTCTTCTGTATGTTGCAGTCTGTGATTTGAATATTTGAAATGAACAGGCAAAAAAATGGATAGGGTCAGTAAAAAGTAAACTGCTAGTTAAATGAATGAAATCGACTATCAAGCGTAAAGTAAACGTGACCAACTTTTCACTCATCCAGTAGAGTATTCAACCAAAATGAGTACATACCCTTGAAAAGCTTTTCATGCATTTCTCAGTGAACACAAGAACGTTTGGATTTTGAATATTCTTCGACAAACCTTTCATTGATGTGTACTGTTTGCAACATTTTAACCTAATATATATATATATATATATATATTTTTTTTTTTAATCAGTTGGTAAGGCATCGGTTTGGCGTACGGGAGACGGTGGTTCGAATCCCGCTTGGGGCAAAAATGAGCACATAACACCAGCCAGTGTGGGTCCTTGGGCAAGACCCTTCACGCTAATGCCTACCTCATACAATGATGAGAGACAATAAAAT